ATTCGTAGTTGTATATATATATATATACACACATATATATATATATATGTGTGTGTGTGTGTGTATGTATGTATATATATATATAACTTTGCACGTGGCCACATCTTTCTTTTCGACCACGTCTGCTCAAGTCCGGAAATAAGTTCTTGCTTTTTCTTCATAAAGTAAAGACTGAGTGTGTTAGTGTTAAAACAGTGACAGGTGAAGATGAACATCTAACTAATGTAAGTCAACAGGACGTCAAAAGTAGCCATTAATTGCAGCGAAGGTGATGATTCTGCTGTAGTATTGGGTGCACGTGTACGACATACGACAGGCCTTGGACGAGCACAGTTAACTCTGTAAGAATGCCTAGCAGCATCTATGTAGCTAATGTTAAAGTAAGTCATAATTTATAAGCCGTTTACATATAACTTGAGCTGGGCTAGGAATTTACTTTAATGATGTCCACATGTACATACTGTTTGTGTGATACGTTTCTTACTCTGTTGCTGAGTGTTGTTCGAAGAATAAGCTGGTATGGCGAAAACAGGTAATCAACAGATTTGTAAGTTATTTAAAGTAAAATTGGTTTATAGAAAAAATAGCAAGAAAAGAGGGTGTGAATATTCAGAGTTAAAATGCGTATAAAAAATAATAATTTAGATTTTTTTTAAAGAGTAAAAGCTAGATGTTCATACTGAAATTTTAAATGGTTGGCGATCAAATGAAGATTGGTTTTTAATATGTTTACGTTATTAGGTGGAACAAAATGGCTACTTGATCGATTTATGTTGTCTAATTATTGAAGGGTTTTTTTTTGGTGATATATTCCGATCTTCTGTTTAATGGAGAGGATCATGTAATTAACAGAGGAAATAATTAGTTTCTGATAAAGTATATTTCTCTGAAAGTCGTATGCGGGGCTTTTTTCCCCAAGTTCATGTTGGTTTAACATTTCTTAAAGTTTATCTCCTTTTCGAATAATCTCCAATTCAAAAACCAAATAAAAAACCCTGAAATCTCAGACTGAGTCCAAAAAACTTGGCAAGACTTTTTATGGTTGAAACACGTAATAATGTATTATTGATTTTTTTTCCTAAATGTACATTCTTATCATTTCGGAAATTGCAAAAAAAAAAAAAACCTAAATAATATAAACGAATTGCGTGTTGTGATACTAAAAGAAAGTCTCCAATCAATCACTATTTGAGTTCAGGCCCGTTTTTAGTTCTTAATATTATTGCTATTTTCAAAATGAAAACATAATACTCTGAAGATATCAAAACGATCATTAATAACACCAGAACTTTAAACAAGGGTTATTTAATATTGGTAAACTTATGTAATCTAGAGTTTAAACATTAATACTTCCCTTTGGTGTATTTGATTCTTTTTTAAGCCATACCTTTGATATCTCGCTAGTTTCAACCACTAAAACAGTATTTTGAATTTGACCAAATAATTTTAATTGTACATCTTAACTTTATATGATTTCGTATGTCATTATGCTTTAAATGAGCCGTCGGTTCGACGAACACAGAAATAATTGTGGTAAACTTAGTTCACTCTGATCATTCGAATAATGTGAGATGCAAATGAGATAAAAAATCTAAAATAAAATGTGTTTTGACGGTAGTCAAATATGAGTTGTAGTTATTTGTTGAAGACAAAAGTGAGAGATACAAGTTACTGTTGTGTAGTGTTTTAGTTACACTGTTTATCACAACGACTTCGGTGCACAAAAAATATAATTTGAAAAGGGTAGTTGGGTTATAATATTCGAATTAAAGAAAAAATCGTAGAAAATGTTTAAAATATACATGTGCATGCTAACCTACTGCGATATTAAATTCTTATTTACGAATTCGTTTTTCCATTTGTTGCGAAAGCTCCCACTTATCATTACTTCTAAAATCCTTCTTCTGTTGCTTTGTTGAACTATAAAAACTGTATTCCGTCATTAAGCTATAATAAACTTTAAACTAGGTTTGATTCTTTTACAAAGTTGTTTATCACACACACAAGTCACCGTTATTAAGCCTAGCAATACCCAAATGGAAACCGAGTTATACCCCGTATACAGAAAACTGAACTACGTGGAAAAATAGAAAATGGATATGCATATGTTTATTAAGTAAATTAACTGTGGCCTCCTATATATATATATATATGTGTGTGTGTATATATGTATGTAGAAGTTAAACAAAACTGAATCTTTAATCAGACTTCAGATCGATAAAAAGTTGAAGAAACTAGCATAAAAAGAAAAAAAAAAGAATGAAGCAGACGACTATATAACCCTAAATTATCTGATTTGAAACAAAGTAAGGGAAGTTCAATCATGACCTGGAAGGTTCTATGGGTCAATAAATGTAAAGACGTAACTATTAATTCATAGTTGAAACTTTGTTTTTTAAAGCACTGCATCACTGAGTTTTGACTTGAAAGGGGAATAACAGGGTAAATGTGTGGTGTGGAAACAAGCCTTTTTTATGTATATCGTAGGAAACTTTTACACATGTGATGTCTCACTTGGAATACAGTTTGTTAAGTATATCTCAATAGGTTGCTGTAATAGCACAATTCTTTGGACCAGGTAATGTTTTCGAATGAAAAGGGTTATTAACTGTATACTGTACTCGTCCTAAGGCTAATAAACATCTTGGCACAATTCTATTTACGAGTCACCTTTCTCATTTCATTTAATATCACTACTGCGTATATTTCATAAAAAGTTGGGCAGACAACTTGCACCAAAAATGTTTAAATCATTGGTTACCGTAGTCATTTTAAATGTTCGTTATTCATCGGATGTTAAAGTTCGGCGTATTTTGTGAACTCGCTCTCAGCAGGATTCAATCCACCATCTTACTAAGACGTTGATTTGGAATGTTAAAGTCACTTATAAACACATCGGAGACTTTAAACTAGAATCTGGTTGTACACTATATCGACTTTTTTTTTTCACTTGAGATACCAATCATGTTAGCATACCGTAAAAAAAGAAAAACATTGACCTTTGTTTGAATTATCTTCATTCATCGCCAGGACAAAAAAACAAACAAACTAAGTCTTGTTATGTTGTGAAGTGACCCAAAATCATTTAGCCGATTTATTTAGGCACATAGATTACTCTCAACGATGACTGGTAAAATCTTGTCGCGTGATATCCTTGGTATGATTTGTCTTCTGGTATTTAAATACTGTTAAGAATAATACAAGAAAATAAACGTTTATACAAGGGATATGTTTTTAATTATATTTGACATTCAGTCTGTGACATATTTAATATTATTCTCTTTGTTACAATATGTTAAACCTCTTTAACAATGTGCTAATTATTGTTTATTTATTAGTAAACTTTCGGAAAACAAGTTCACTCGTGATTGTTTGTCAGCGGCTCTATAACTTTGGTATCATAAACAAGTAGATTATAAGGTACTTTTCGGTAGCAGAACGTGTGATTAAATTAACGAAACCTCAAACTGACGTTAATTATATCATTTCTGTTTCAGTACGGTTTCCGTAATCTCCACTGTGTAAGGCAATAAACAACTCAGTAACATTTGAAGTGTAAAAATATTCAAATTATGTTTTCCAACAAAATGGTTAAAGGTTACATAGTAAAACAATCTGTTCCTCACAAAAAACTGAATGAAATTATAACTGTTTTACTAGACACTTAGTCAACAAATATAAATTAAAGAATTCTGAACCCGAGTTATCGATAAAGTATTTATGTGATAAATAACACAGAAACTAAAGCATTTAAGAGTGAAATGTATATGGTGTATTTTAAGAACTGGCTTGTAAAATCGTCTTAGATTTTCAAGCGTGTTGACGATAACTGACATCACGGGTTTTTCAGGCTTGCAATTATCTCCAATCCAGTGGAAAAAAAACAAAAAACAAATCGAATATTAGTGGCATGGGTTAATGGGCGAAGTGTTCACTACATGCACCGTATCACGATGTTTTAATCCTCCATTCGAGTTTTTGACTCTTCTTTCGG